CGGAGTCGGCCGTCACTCGCCTAACCCTAAGCGCCTAAGCGGCCTAAGCGGGGGGGTGCTTAGGGTGCTTAGGCGCTTAGGCGGCCCTTGCGAGCGTGGCGGCGTGGTGATATCGATATGGCGGGATATGGCGGGATATGGCCGGATATGGCGGGATACGGTCAGATATGGAGAGATACATCAAGATACCGCAAAAAAATCGGCCAGACTAGGCCTGCATGGCAGCACTCGCTCTGAGCCTCTTGACACATGATTACACTACACAGTCCTCCCTTCGGTTGTCGTTTCGACCCTGTTTTTTTCTTCTATCGCAGCGCACTCGCATCTGTGAGAAGAGAGAGAGTGTGGGCCTCCGGGCCTGCTGCGGCGGCGCGGCCGGTTGAGGCCGGGCTCGGCCCGGCCCGCGACGGCTGGCCGCGGACGAGCGCGCTCGCGCTGCTCGTCAAAATGGCGGCGGTGGCGATTGCGGCGACAAAAGTTCAGGCGTACAGCGCTCAGGCGCCTGTCGTGACTCGAGCCGACCAGCGACCGAGCACCGAGGTCCCGTGGGGAGGTCGAGGAGGCGGGCGAGTGGGGCGGACATCGCGAGAAAAAGAAACAATTGGGCCCCAGAGGAAAGGAGAACGGAAAAAAGATACCATGCGCCACGCCCACCGCCTGAGGGCCTGACTCGCAGGCACGGCGCGCGGGCCGGGGCGGAGCCTATCTTTCCGCCACTCTTGCTTTTTTTTTCGCTGCAGTCCCACCTGCGGATCTTTGATCACATATAAAAACGCACAACCCCGGGGGCCCGTTGATCACACTCCAAGGGGCTGCTAAAGCCGTATATGGTGTCACCTCGAGAACCTCGAGAACCATGAACGGCGCGCGTCAGTGTCAGAATCATCCCCCCCCCAAAGAGCGGCCGCTCGCTGCTCGGTACCCCCCCTGCACAACTAAGCTCATGGCCGACCCCCCCCCCCCCCCGCGGCCATCCCCCGGCCCGCGGGGGGGGGGCCGGGGACCCCCCCCCCCAGGGTTCGCCGCCCGGGGGGGGGGGGGGGGGCCGGAAAACCCCCCCCCCCCCC